GCAGCAGCAGCAGCAACAGCAGCAGCAGCAGCAACAGCAGCAACAGCAGCAGCAGCAGCAGCAGCAGCAGTTCACCTCTACCGCCTGCGCAGCCACTCGGCCCCAGAACGCCGCGTCTCCTGCATTGAACCGCGCAGTCTCCGCAGCCGTTGTAGCTAGAAGGGCCCCAGCAGAAACAGGCGGGGGGCCCCTTGAACCAGAGAGGGGCCCCCTTGAGCCCGAGGGGGGCCCCCTCGAGACCCACGGGGGCCCCCCTGAAGTGCGGGCGCCAACCCCTTGGTACCCCTCCGGCCCTGCGCATGCACAGCAAGCCCCAAAAGTATCGCTATGTACCCCTCCCCAAACCCTAGTAGTCTCCAGAATGCATGCAGTCATGCATGCATGCATGCATGCATGCATGCATGAGAGACAGCATTCATGCATGCATGCATGCATGCGAAGCAGCACTTTCTGCGGTGACAGTTGGGGCCCTCGCAACGCGAAGGGAAACATGTGGGGCTGCATGCGTCTTACGGGCTGCTGCAGCATCAAAGCCCTCGCGCCCAGGGCCCCCACCAACACGAAAGGGGCTTCTCGATGCCGAGGGCCCCCCAGAGCCCCTGGGGCCCCCAGTGCCCCTGGGGGCCCTGGGGGCCCGGGATAGAGAGGCGAAGCGGCGCTGGAGGGCTGCAGCGAGGAGAGGGGGGCCCCTGAGCCTTTCTGGTGTTTGTATGGTTCTTAGTGAGCAACTGACGCCAGCAGCACAAACGTCGAAACATTGCTGCTGCTGATACACTTGCTGCTGCCGCAGCTGCTGCAGCTGCTGCAGCTGCTGCAGCTGCTGCTGCGGCGCAGCTGCATGCGCAGGACACTCAGAGGCTGAGATGCTTGCAGCCAGTGTATGCAGAGAAAGGGGAGCCGTGGGGGGGCCCCCGCCTGCAGCAGCACCGGAGGGGCCCCCATAGGGCATCCGCCGGATGCAGGGGCCCCACCGGGGGCCCCCCAAGGGGCCCCTCATGCGCCCAGCAGCAGCCAGAGGCCCCAATATTTGCTGCTGCCTTCAGCCCAGCCCTCAGCCCGTGCGATGCCTAGAAGTTATTCTTTTCATTCTCCACAAACTAACCTATACACTCCAGTCTACACCTAAACCCTAAACCCTAAACC